GTCTGTCTCTAAGTGTAGCCCTGTGATAGACTGGTTACCTGTCCAGGTGAACCTGCCTTCACCCTGAGTCAGCTGGGATAGACTCCAGCCCCCCACGACCCTCTTGAGGATTAAGCGGTGTATAGAAAATGGATGGGTGCTAAAGGGGTGTTTTACTGCCGTCTCCCTGTGTTCTCGTTGTTATTTATGTTTATCCACGGAGACCAGAGAACACATACCTTTTCATGCAGCTTTTCCCTCAACTAACGTGACTCGTCTCGCTCACCGTTGTCTGCCTCTCAGGTGAAAAGCTCACTACTGCCCCTAGAGGCCTGGGCCACTTCCGTTGTGTGACCAGATATGCAGCATTTTCTTTTTCTTCATGTATATGCAGCTCGTTTGTGTTTATGCAGCTCATTTGTACCCCGTCGGCCAACCTGACTTTGACTCCGGAGACTGGATTTATGTTCTGTTTGGAACAATATTTTCAGACTCAAGCTTCATTTTCACAGTTTGTCATGTTTAGGCACCAGAACAACTTGGTGTAGAATGTAATCATAGTTTGGGTTAGAATACACCCTCACAACATGGCAAAGCTAAAACTAGAAGAATACATGAGAAATGATGATCGCTTCCTTCATCATTTCATCCATTTCCTCTCCTCTCAATCACTTTTCCTTCATCTCTTCTACCCTCTCTCTCTGTCTAACCTTCCTCCCTCCATCCTCCTCTCGGTCCTGCCTCCCTGTGGTATAAGTGCTGCTTTATCAGACCGGTTAAATGGCTCGCCTGCAGTGCTGTTTAGTTTCCTGTGAACGACGCTGATACGCTGCCTGAGTGGAGGAGATAGGAAGCCTGCTGTCTGTTACACACTGAGCAGTTCAGAGGTGATAAACACATTCCTTTGTGTGCATATTCACACGTATAATTCCTCATTGTCTTGATTTAAGGTAGTTGACATTGTTTTCCTAAGTGTAGCTTTGCTGATTGTTCAGCCAGACCTTATTATCGGGCTGTTTACCATCATTTGCAATCATGCATACATCAGCCTCATTATTGGATTTCGTCTTAAGAAGCGGCACGGTCTTATTGATTTAGCGTTGTCCTGTTTTTTCCAGTGTCGACCAGGCCAAGACAAATAATCAATGAATTGCGACTGAAAGCGTTTGAAGCCTCTTCTGCACCGTGAGCTTCCTGTTACTAAAAAGGAGATTTATCCTGGTTTTTCAAGGCTTAATTTATGGCCCCGTTTGGACTGAGCTAAAGCCCAGCGAGAAGCAGAGGAACGATGGTAGGCGCTTTAAAACTGAGGTTGTGCTATGAATGATGGGTAATGCTGGGAAAAGCAGCTTGAGTGGGAAAGAAAATGATGTTCCTGCATCCAGAACTGTCCTCAGCAGTCAGCTTCACACTTCAAACTTCAAACAATCCATTTTTCCTGTGATGCAAATTCAAAACTCGAGGTTTATGTACTGATTAGTAGAAAGTAGATCCTTTCCTAAACTTAACCAAACATTAAAGTTTATTGGAGAAGACCGGAAACAATTAGCTCAGACTGGAGACAGGGGGAGCAGCTACCTGGTTTAATATCCTCATGCACTGTGGACTGCGTATGTAACATTGCATTACATATATAAGCAAAACTAGCTCCCACGTTATACCAACCAACAACTCCAAAGCCAGCGTGCTGTTTGTTTGATCCATAAATACTGCAAACGGATGTAAAATGGTTTACAGCTTGTGATTATAAGAGACGTTACGGGTCAATTAACGAGTGCAAAGTTTAGTTTTATTGCCCACTATTATACTTAAATATAATGCACGATGAAGTATGACTTGGAATGATGTTGGACATTTAATTTAGTTTGGTTCCTGTTTACAGAAAGCTTCTCAGAGCAGCACCATAGATCTCTATCTTAATGCAACAGGAGTCTCCCAGTCGTTGCTCAGACGCTATCGCTGGTAGAAACGCTTAAAGAATATGAAAACTGAAGATAACTGTAATGCATGCTGCGCCCAGTGTCTTCCTAATGTATCGTTATCACAGCGAGCTTTCCAACCAGCTGACATGCTGCACAAACATCACGGCTCGTTTGATGAATCGCTGTGTTCACCTAACAGTGGTGTTGATCTTCTCATTTAGTTTCAGCAAGAAAATGAGCAAACCCATTTCCCTAAAATGAAACGATTCACTTAAAGCGATCATATTCTGCCCATTTACAGGTTAATTAATGGACATTTTGAGGCCCACTAGAATATGTTTACATGCTTTAATGTTCAAACAACACATTATTTTTCTCACAGTTCCATTTCACTTCCTGTTCCTTTAAGGCCTCTCTCCTGAAACGCTCAGTCTTCAGCATTAGTTATATACTATAACCCCAGAGTCTATGAATTCAGGCGTAGCCCTCTAAGAGCTGTGAGCTGCTAAAAAAATCCCAGAGTTTACTGAGATACATTAGAAACCAAATCAAGCTCAGAGCAAGAAGTGATTCCTGTAGAAGTCATTACGTCACACGACATGCAGTGTTTTCATGCAATACCATTTTTGAAATTACCTGCATCATGAGGGAAATGTGAACAAAAAGCCTCATGAGTTTAGGTTGCACTGAAGCACAGAAGGTGGCATGAAAACACAGCAACCCACCCAGTCCTTGTTTATTCATCTCAAATCTGTTTTTAAATTTTCTACCATCTCTGAATGTCCCTCAGCGTTACATGTTCAACACCTCTGACCTCTGAACATGCTAACGTTAGCCACATTAGCTGCAGAACAATGCTAACACTATTGGTTTTCCTGTTGTTGTGGGGTTGTTGCTATTAAAGAGAAGTCATCCATTGGAGCTTTAGTTTCTCAGATGTTGGCAGTGCATGAAAGCTCTTGTGTTCACTCTTGCAGCCAACAGCAGAACATGTGGTGTGTTTTCCTCGTGGCGGAGTCTTTGTAGAAGCAGCTCTGAGGAGTAAATAACAGTGGCAGCCTCGTCATTCTGTGTTTGAGCAGCTATATAACACATTAAAGCAAAGGGACAAGCCCCCCAAACAGTACATCATGGCTTCTTTAACTGGAAGCGGCAGATCAGAAGTCATAAGAATCATTTTTGTGACGGTCGCTTTGACAACGGTGTGTTTTATACTGTGGTTTATGTGTTAGGACTTGTTACAAACAGCACAACCAGGAGCAGACAATGCATCTGCCCACACACACATTAATAATCTGAATGAATTACTGTTTGCACACGATCACACCTCGACCGTTCATTTGCATGCACTGTAATTTACACAAACAAAACGGTGACAAATGAGTACATTCACACACATTAAGCAATACGAATGTTAGCATGCCCACACAGTGAACAAATGCAAAGCAGGGCTTCCACTATTGATTGTGCGTATAGCAATGAGTAAAACATGTACACACACACACACACACACACACACACACACACACACACTGTTCTGTTCTCCTTGATATTATCGCCGGCTCACCGCCCACTTCACTATGTGAGCTGCAGGCCTGAGTCCGTCTGGAGATGTGCTGCTTTTTATCTCAAACACACACACACACACACACACACACACATGGACACAGATGCACACAAAACGAAAAAACAACTCAAAAGGAAGCACACACACCCATTCACTTTTCATTCTTAGACATGCCCACATTCCCACGCATTCAAAAAAACAACATCTCATTGGTGTTCACAGCCTTTCACGCTTTGTCGTACTGTTACACACAAACACATCTGCATGCACACACAAACACACACACACTCCTCTGATTCCTTCACCTGGCCTTGAAGACATTTATGAGGCGCTAAATCACTGAGCAGTCTGAGTGTTAAGGGTAAATAGAGAGGACGGCCGGTGCACACACATCAAAGCCTCCGCCTCACTTTATCTCCCCCGGTTTATTTAAAATGACAATAGTGTTTGACACTGATAATGCTGCCTCCCAAACCTTTATTAGGAGTGCAGACGATATCATAAATTAGTCTGGTGAAGGAAGCAAGGACGAAGGCGGCGAAGAAACGAAGGGAAGAAGAAGGATTGAGTGGGTGGGTTGATGGATGGCTGATGAGGGAGGAAGAAATGCATGAAGGTGGAAGAGAAGATTTAAAGAAGCCAACGCAGAAAGTTAGAGGGAGGAAAGGCAGGAGTGGTGGATGAGAAGGTCGGAAAGATCAATCACAGCAGCTATAGAAGGAAGTGGAGAGCGAGAATATATCATACAGAGCAAAACACATGAAGACAGTAAGGGATAAAGGCAGGGCGCTTTGATTTATTCACACATGATGAATGAGGTGAACGTTGTACAAAGAGGAACTTTAAACAAAACAATCTGACCTCTTTCTTTATTGGTTCGTTCCACAGTTCCTCCTGATCATCAGCTCTGATCTGGAAGAAGAAAAGCCACTTGGATAAACATCCTGGATGCAGCAGCGACGCTTACAGCCGGATGCCGGTTTTGAAAGTGACTGATAAACCTTTTGGCAAAGCAACCGGCAGTGATTGGGTGGACTGAGGAGGACGGCGGGCATCAGCCATGGATGTGACGAAACCAACTTCCTGTTCTAAATCAGGAACTCTCAAAGTCTCAGCTCCATCTGGGGGTAGGTGTGGCTGAACCCTGGACACTTGTGCTGACAGTAAACCTTGACAACTCTTCGCCAATGACTTGTTGGCATAAAATGGGAAATTTAAACCTCAGAGAACAGTTTGAGGCTGTTTGCAGCTAGCAAGGCTTTATTATACCACAATAAAAACTCCAGAACACTCGAGATTCAGCCCTCCCTGTCCCCTCTTCCCGCCATTCCCCGTCCCCCAAGTTGCTCCTACCCCGTTTTCTCCCCTTCCCCCAGATCCCATTTTGTCAGCCCTTATTGTTATAATATCTCCCTCCATGCTGAGTGCATCTCTTTCACCAGCTCCTTCCATCTGCTGGTGAAGAGGGTGAATTCAAGCAAAGGGAGTCTGTCCTGCTTAAACCTCCAGCAGCGTAACCATCTCTCTCTGGAATGGGTGGCCCTGCACGGGCTCTTCTTGGCGGGTTCGGCACCACCACCTCCTCCCTGGAGGTCGGGGCCTGGCCAAGCAACAGCCCCCTGGACCTCAACCAAACCCTGCCATGGGGGATCGGACTGGGGGGCAGCAGTGGAGGTGGAGGCGCAGCCGCCATGAGTTTCGGTCTGGACAATTCTAGCACCCAGGAGTCTGTCAGCAGGGCGGTGATGAAAGAGAAGAACTGGCCGGCGCTGCTCATACTGGTCATCATCGCGCTGACGGTTGGCGGCAACATTCTGGTGATCCTGGCGGTGTCGCTGGAGAAGAAGCTCCAAAACGCCACCAACTTCTTTCTGAGGTCGCTGGCCGTGGCGGACATGCTCGTGGGCATCCTGGTCATGCCAATCTCCCTGATCAACATCCTGTACGGTGAGTCATCAGCACACAGAAAACAGCTCCGCAACAAGTATGATCAGAGTGATCAACAAACACCTAATTAACAACCAGAAACACCCCCTTTGTTAACCCTGAGATGAGTGTTTGTTGGTCAATAACACACATTTGCACATGTAAACACAATACAGTACCAAGAAGTCTAAGAGTATTCTCTGTCAGAACCATAAAGCATGAATGAATAAGACAGTTTGTTTAAAGTCTACAAATAAGAGACACGGAAGGAAATTATAGAGTAGTTGTTGTGAAATACCACTAAAAGTCAGATATGTCAACCTCAAGGTGGTGCTGGAAGAAAAGATAGATAGATAGATAGATAGATAGATAGATAGATAGATAGATAGATAGATAGATAGATACTTTATTCATCTCCAAGAGAAATTTACAAAAAAAGTCCTCTAAGTCAGTAGGTTTTATCCTCTGATTACCGGGAATATCTGTGAATAAGCTGCCTCACTAATATGGCTAAACTTTCAATAATAGCCTCCTATTCAAAGAACAGTGTCTTTGCATCTCGAGCGTCTTTCAACCGAAGAGTCAAGCAACAGTTAACAATGTCAATCTGTGAATTATCCTAAATAAAATCAATGCAACCTGCAAGTCCAGAAACCACTTTGGGTAAATAAGAAAATGTAGGTTTATGGTGAGGACGAGCGGTCGTTTCTTGCAAGAACGTCAAAGACAGAGCGTTACCTGCACGCAATGCACATAGACAAATAAACTGTCCACCTCTGTTCTGCACAGTGAGAGCTGCTTGAGCGCCGGTGATTATTGATTTCTCCACAGCGCCCTACTTTAATCCTAAAAAACAGATAGACGCTCATAAATCTCACCTAATATCTAAACCATCCTGGGTGCTGTCTGTACCCTGATCTCCGGCCTCCACCTACTCTCCAGCTGCTGCCAGCTCACTGTGACGCGCGCCCTGTCATTATTTCAAAAACATTTCTTGCTGCAATTACTGGAATGATATTTGCTTCTCCGACACACTGCACACTGTTATTTTGTACGTGATTCAAGCTCCGAAGGGTGCCAGCTTGATAATTGCAATATCATAGCAGCTATGGGCTGCTGTTCTTGCTCACAGCGTCCGTGCCAGGATTCTACATGAACGCCCACATCAGTGTAACAGGATGGTGGGCTGTAATATCGAAGGCTGTGTGTTGAAGCTCCTCTCTGATGTTGAGCAAAAGCATTAATTAAAGAAAGTCTGTCGTCTTCTAACATCGCAGCCGCGTCTCTACATTAACACCGAGCAGAAGTACGTTTCTTACTGTAAATGCCACCATCAGACGAGCGATCTCAGAGCTGACAACAGCTTCTTCAGGTAAACAGATGTTGACCTTTTCAGTTTCCAGTGACGCTAATCTGTCAGTACTCACTTCACTGATTTCCAGAAAATCTCTGAATTTTCTGAGAGTGTTCAGCTGATGCTACGTCTGCAGCTATCTGGATCCCCATTTAACCCTCTAAACACCAACAAGGGTTCTGGCTGTTTACTCCTGTCACGTTTTGAGCTGTTTGTTTTCTGCAATATCAAATCCTGCATCTTTGCGGAAACAGCACAACCAGGACGAGAAGGAGGGATGACTCAGAAATACCCTCCCATTAAAGAAGGAAAAAAACAGCTGTCACTGAAATTAACAAAAGTAATAATACATTTTAAAAAAATGTAATGGCAATCATGACATTGGTTTTGAATTGTGGTTCAACAGAAATATAAGAATTTAAAAAATAATAATTAAAAAAAAAACTGCTTTAATTTGTCCAAGACAGTTTTTTTGTTTGTTTGTTTTTGTTTTTTTAAAATTATTTTTTTCAACCACAGTTCAAAAGCAACGTCTTATTTCACTAAATTATAATTTAGCAAATTTTTATTTATCATTACATTTTTCAGTTTCTAGTTATTTGAGTGACTAATGTGATTTTTGCCTTTTCTTTAAAGGAAGTGTGTGAATACATTTGACTGTATGGTGTCACAAATCTTAAATTCTGGAATATTTTTGCTTAATTTACAAAATTTTTAAACACGTGGAATCAGCGTACCACATTTTTCGTAGCACCATCGGGTGAGGAAAAAAAAATACAGATATTGTACTACTTCCATTTTAAATCTGTTTCCATGCTTGTCTTTTTATCTGGTCTGCGTGAACACGACCTGCAGTTCAGCCGAGTTCAACTGAAAAGCCCTCGAGTTTTTATCACATTACTGTTAATCACAGCCGAGTCACTAATGGCTTCAGTACGGTGGCCCAGAAGTGTCACAACAAAACACAATAAGCCACAACGCTACAAAATTAGCCGCAACACAACACAACGGCTGCAACAGAAGTTGTTTGCAACGGAAGTGTTCGCATTAACAAGTCAAACAAGCAGTGACTCTGTATTTGTAAATCAAAGTTAACAAACGCTTTAACAGCGCATACCGAGATTAATGGACACTATTTGCCATCAGTATTTTACTTACTTTCGAGTTGTTTCCAACAATCTCTGGCTTCTGCCCACTTCGTGTGGTTCTGTACTTCACAGTATAACTTCCGAGTTAAAAAATAAACAACTTCTGTTGCAGCTGTTGTGTTGTGTTGCGGCTTATTTTGTAGTGTTGTGGCTGATTGTGTTTTGTTGTGGCTTTTGTTTTGTTGTGACACTTCTGGGCCACCGTACTTCACAGTTGTGGTATTTTTTGCAGAATGTGGTCAAAGCAAACGGTTTGTTTTTGGTGAATTTTACATGAGACAAAACGTTTTTAGCTTCGATTTGGTGACTATACCAATAACACCACGTTGCAGATGATTTCTATCTCACAGTTGAAAATCCAAGGATCTTGTTCTCACAGTTTTTACAGACTCTTATGAATGGTGTTGACCTCTCAGAGGGTTCAGAAAATTAACAGCGTTTTGATTAATCCGTATTTTGAGAAAAGTGAGGATGTTTAACTGTTGCAGTGAGGTCAGGGATCATGTGCACCGTACTTCAACGTCTTCAGAGGCAGGTCCAAGTCAAACAATGCTGTTTGATCCAAGGCCAATCAGGTCTCACGTCTGTGTTATATATGTGTTGTATTTTTTACACAGCGGAGACCATGTCCTTTGGGCCTAATGATAAATATATGACGTGTTGTAAGATGCTCCGCCTGCCCTTGACACAGCCGGCCTGTCTGATAGTGTTTTATTGTTGGAATGGACCTTCAGGTTTTACAGGTTTGCACGTGAAGCCGTTGTATTTGTGAATTAAAACTGTATTAACGACAATATTTGTCGCATGTGAGAACAAATTGAATTATCAGCCTGTAAACACTGAGGGGTTATCTTATGATATTTAAGCAAACACTGCCATCCATAAGGCACACAACAGCATTCACCTGTAGTCGTGTTTCCAGCTGAAGCTTCCTGACAAAATAGGTTTGCAGAGCATTGGCTTTAGTCCAAGTCCCAGGGCTACGATTCAGGTTCATATTTCAGTCTGCAGTATAACAGACAAAGATGTAAAAGATGTTTTATTAGCCGCCGTCCAATCTGTGGTTAATTTGATCCATTATTTGTCTCAGTGAGAACTTGGACAGAAGATGACAAACCACGTGTCCTCCGAGTTTTATGCTCTGCTAATGATTTGATAAGTGACTCGTGATTTAATTTAGATTTCTGTGTGTGTGACGGTGATAAATCTCCCCGGTTATCAGCCGATGTCACACGTGGACATCTTGTGTCTCTCAGAGGAGGCGTTGTGACGTCGTGAGAGCCGAACGGCGTGCGTTGTTTATCCAGAGTGACAGCAGAGAAAGCCGGATTTGCTGTTTTGACAGTCCAGACGTGGATTCAATTAGAGTTTGTGCACATTCAGAGAATTATTCCAGTCAGGATTTTGAGGAATTTTTATTTTTATTTTTTTGTTTTTAGCAGCCCTGATGTATTTTAGCTGAACTTTCTGCAAAGAGGAAACGTCATTTTAAACTGCTAGCAAAGTGAACATGATTTCAGTTCCTGTGTTTCTGTGACATGCAGCTGCTGATCTATCAGCATTTATTGACAATATAATGTAGATTTAAGAATAAGAAGATTACTTAGGGGGTGGAAGTGGTCAAGTAGGGATCAGTGAAAGGTCCAGGTATCCAAACTATCTGTTGCATTGTGTTTGCACACACATATTAGATTAAATTGGGATTAATTAGGGCAACGTTCTTGTATCACAGTAACGATATGTAATGTCTGACAATGTGGAGTGCGTCGGTCTTCGTGCATTTGCGATATCAGTGTGTGACCAATGTGAAGTAAGCTGACTTTATACGATCAATTTATACATTTTTGATTGATATTGTTGAAAAACACTAGTATTAAAATAACATGTGTGGCAGCAGATGTAAATAAAGATTCAGGTTTAGCTCTTGTCAAAGCTAATCAGTTAAAAAATTACCTGGATCAGCCCTAGTCCTGATCTAAGGCTCTGGACATCACTGTTAAAACTCATAATTTACTCTCCTGCAGCTCTTAAAATACTTCACAGCTCATGAAAATGTCCTATAAATCCAGTCATAAAGCCTTATCTTTATGATTTAAAGCATCATTCTATAAACAACATGTTTTCTGTAGCAGCATAGATGTCAGCTCATTAACTAAATGTACAAATCATGTGGGTAGAAGTACACGCAGCATTTACGAGGCCATTAAAGTAGCTGAATGAAGTGAAAATCTCGAGAAAGGTGCTGCTTAATTCTTTCAGGCTTCTTTAAACTGACAAAGCAGTTCTTGCTGCTTGTGTTTGGGCGCTTCACAGGTTTTACAGAGCTGCTTAATGTCCACTGCGGTTGTGGAAGTAGCTTCAGTCTTTACAGAGCATCAGGCTGCTTTAGCTTCGCCCTGCAGTGCCTCGTATGTGTTCATTCTTCACCACTGACTTTATTTTATTTACTGTTTGTGTGCATTAAGCTGCTTTCACTGCAGTCTTTAGTAGCTGGTCTCCAGCTCCAGAACCTCTGCTCT